AAATAGTATCTTCTTGATAGTATATGTTTCTGTCTTTTCAACAAAATAAACCACTCCATTTTAATTCTGATGAAAAAATGAACTTAAAAGCTCAGAATTGCTTTTGCTAGTAACAATAACAACAACAAAAGCCAAACAACCAAGCTGCAGAATATCCCAATTGAACTTACATTTAGGACAAATTAAGAAGACCAGTACCTAGAAGACAAATCTAGAGAACAAGAATTGAAAAACCTTATCCAAACAATGAACAGGGAATGTTTATAAAAAATGTATCTGGTAATATTCACCCTCACTGCACCTTTATATTTCTATCCAAGCACCTCTGTGTGGTTATCTTGCATGACACTTTTATCTGGTTGCCCTTTATAGTCCTTCCTATAACCTGTCATTGCCAGAAATCAAAGGATAATCCAGGTGTAGATCTTACTTACTGAAGGTAACGCAGCTACCTGTTCACATCTGGGTTTCTAAGACTTAACAGTGAGTCACCTGAGAAGTTGTGACTTTCCATAAAACTACTGAGTTACTGGCTATAAAATAACAAAACAAGGGAGAATCTGGCCTACTCAACTAAAAGCAATGTATTATTCTTCCTCTTTGAGAGCTTCAGCACTCTGACTATAATTAGGTTAGTTAGGTTTTGCTAAGATCTGAATTATTTGCATTGTTTCAGTTATACAGTTTACATAAGTAGAAAAGATTATTTGCTTTACTCTTAGATTCATCACTCTTTTTTTAAAATTTTATTTAAAAGGAAAAAGAGAAAAACACAAAACAAAACAAGCGGTGTAAGGGTACATGTAATACAGAACTACAAAAAAAAAAAAAAAAAACAGTAACAAATCACCAGCTAATAAATTACATATTATCATCTTAGAGATAGTTGCTCAAATCACAGTATCAAAGCATACAAAGTGGACATTCAAACAGTGAGACTGCAAACAGTTGTGTTCAATGATCCAAACAAAACCATTAATATGGTCAGCTATTTAACACCCCTAAACACACTTGCTGTTGTATACTTTAGAGCTCTTTTTTTCCCTGTTTTACAACAAAATTTACACATTTGGGGTTTTATTACTCCTTAGTTCTTATTACTTTTTTTAGGGATAGAACAAAGTCAAATATGGCAAAATAAAACTGTCAGTCAAAACCAAGGATAGAAATAGCACATGATGTAAAACAGAGTACAAGGTTATCAACAATGGTTATCAACAATGTCTCTTGTTTCCTTAAAAAGAATTGTCTATCTCATTAGATATTGAATACATGTCATGAGCTCTTCATATCTCATGCAGAGGTGCTTTATTCAGCCCAGATCATTGAACCTGCTCCCCATTGCTTCCACAGCATCAAAGGTACCCCTTTCCTTTCTATTTCTAGTTCTATCCTCTCTTACATCTCCCTCTCCCTATGCACTTCATGGGCTTTGGACACTTTCCCTTTTAAAAATAGTACCATGAAGCGTAAAGCCTAAAATACAATTAATCATAGTTTTTACATTTCTGATTAAAATATTGTAACTACATAATTAAAGGTCTTACATATAATGGGCATCCTCATTCAAAATGATTTCCATATAATGAAGGAAACATAAAAACTATGGAAACCTCGAAAAAGAAACACAGTGACTTTATATTAGAAGGAAAGAATAGGGGCTGGGGATTTAGCTCAGTGGCATAAGCACCTGCCTTGCAAGCAGGCAGTTGTGAGTTCGATCCCCAGTAACAATGAAAAAGAAAGAAAGAAAGAAAGAGAGAAAGAGAGAAAGAAAGAGAGAAAGAGAGAAAGAAAGAGAGAAAGAAAGAAAGAAAGAAAGAAAGAAAGAAAGAAAGAAAGAAAGAAAATATACTAGAATTTAGGAAAGAATTCAATGAATAAATGTCTGTTTTTCCCCTTGAATATGGAAGGAAATTTATAGCCCCGAGTTACTTTTTTCTTGGTTACTCTTATATGGACTTATTGGCAATAAATTCCAACTTCCCTTAGTGGGTACATGGAGGACAAGAAATGTTACTTGCATCTATCTAATATATTTTGATATGACTATAGTGAAGGCTCTGTAGTAGCCAATGGTGGACAAAAACAGTTTGTAAGACACAATGTCTACCTTCAAACAGTACTGGTGGTCATTTTATCTAATTTCCACTAGAAGGATATTGTGTCAATTCCATAGCATAGTTTAATCAAACATAGAAATAAAAAGATGGATTCAAATGTATATATTTGGAAGTGCAGGAAAGGAAAGCCTCAAGCTGTTTTGTAGATTGTGTAGAATTATGCTATTCCAAAAGGGCAGACATCCACCATCACATCAACACCCCTATCTAGTGTCAATAATTAGATCACTTATTTTAGTCTCCATATAAGTGCTAAGAAGTAAACAAATAGCAGAAATCCATTCCAGAGTTGATAGGATAAGACATAATTCTCCACCTGTAAAATATGTTCCCAAATATTCACAAGTAGGAAAAAATATTACTGGATTTGTCTAGAGACAGAGCTTAAACAGAGTGGACTACATATTATCAGAAGTTAGCACTGCTAAAACTACATTTACTCATTTAAAATTATTTCTGTTCACATAGTTCGAGCTCCTCAACAGCAGGTGTGTGTGTGTGTGTGTGTGTGTGTGTGTGTGTTGAATAATGTTAATAAATGAATAAATGAATGAATTTAAAGGAGTCAATGGAAACGAGCAAGGACAGGAATCTCGTATCTTGGGGAAAAATTCTTCACAAAATATTGAAAAAGCATTGGAGGGAAGCAGGAAAACAGGTACTTGAAATGTCAATGAACATCACACTTGGTTTGTAATGAAGATTGTCGAGCTATTTACAAATGATCTGAGTTATAGGCAACAGGCAAAGTAGCCTGTAAGTAAAATCTAATCAAAGTAGACATTTGTTTTTGTGTAAAGAATGTTCTGTGAAAAAGCACCCATCTTCTTTACTGTTTGGGAGTCTTTTTTTATGCTCCAACATGCTCCCAATCCCTTTAGCATGCAGTGCCCTCGGGCTGTATTTTCTCAGTCCAAGTCCTGTGCATCTAATTATTGTTCCACTTACTGGCTGCCCCATTGAAACACCTATTACATGAGAAAAATAACTCAAATAGTACATAGATATGTTTATTATCACGAATTTCTCCTTCTTTTCTCTGCTTCATGTATCCATGCATTTATTCAACCAAGTTAAATATAAATTGATAATGGTATCTTGTGTACAGCAACTTAGAACTGTTACATGCTATTCCTAAAATTACAATAGGTAAGCAACCTTTCATAGAAATATACTGAGTGGTAATTACTAAAGCTGCAACTGCATCATGTCTCAAGAAACTATTCACTGTTTAGATTATTTCTTCTATCTGAATCTGGGGTTCTATACTTGATTCCAATAATTTGTTTTTTATAACCCTCGTCAAGCATAATTCTTATTCCAATAACTAAGGAGTGACTGCAGCCTAAAGTGAATAATCAAGTTTTAGTATCTGGCCTTCCCTATTCATCAACAGGATGTCATCTTGTTAGCAGCTTTGATAAAATAACCACGTGTGAAAATAAGACTAATAACCAAAAGTTTGCATACAGCCAAATATGGTGCCGCATACTCATTATCCCAGCTATCTGGGATGCAGAAGATCCTTAGATCACAAATCTAAGACCACCCAGGGAAATTTAGTAGACTTGATATCAAAAATTTTAAAATGAAGTTAAAGTACAGTGGCAGAGAATATACAGCATCCTGGATTCAACCATCAGTACCCTAACAAAAAGAAGTTTGTGTCATGGGACATAATTAATGCATTGGTTGTCTTTTCCTTTTATTTTCTCTTGTTAATTTATCCACTCAAGGAATCTTCGATATATATCTGAATCCAAGGCATTGTCTTAGATTCTCCCATTCCCTGTCTGCCACTGATTCCAATAACCTGCCTCCACTGGTCCCTAAAATTGGGGGCAGGGTGTGGATTTGCCATTAGTGAAGACTGTTCTCTAAAGCAGCTACATAAACTCTGAATAGTCAGATTTAACCGTTCATGACCAGGAAATGAAACTTGATAACCTATTCATACATTATCATACATTCTCTGGTGATGCTATAAAATAATTTACATAAAAAGGTAATTTTCTAACACTTTGACCATAATTTCATGATCACCAACTGCCTAAAGAATGTGGGTTGTCTTCTGAATAGCTAAATTCAACTTTATTGAGTAACTTGGTGCATAAAATTGCCTATGGAACAGAACAGTCTATAATGAGATAAATGGGCAAGAAAAAAGTAAAGACTAAGATAATCAGTTGTCATTTGTATATTAAACAGCTTTTAGCACAATTAATTGATAAATAACATCATCAGAACTATATAGAACAACTTCCTGTTGGATACTATTGAGGAAATGTCGGAGCAAACACAAAGTCAAATTGAGAGGCACATGAACTGCAAGACAGCTTATCTTTTTTGGCATAATCCTGAACTGCAAGGATTCAGGAGGAGGAATGGTTCATAAATGAAACATTTACAAATGTGACCCATGCCAAGAACTATGCTAGTTCAGTATACAGAAAAAAATGACAGATGGAATCTTTATTGTTGGCATAAAAGTAAAATAAAAATGTACATTATTATCATCATTATCCTGTAGGGAAAGCAAGTCATTAAGTACCATTGTGAGACTGTTTATTACCAACATCTTGTAATATAAAATGAATGCAACAGAAAAGTAATGACATTTTAACACTTAGGCAAATGGAGAATATTTTATTCACCATGAGTTTCTCAAGTATAATTAAGCATAAGGAAGCAGATGCAGGCTTTCATAAGATATTGATGTTTTCTTATTGCTGATTATATAGGACATGAATTATGGGAAGAAATGTATAATGTCGAGAAGCTTTTTAAGTCATCAGAATCCAAACTGTTTCCCCAGCTGTCACATCAAGTTCAGATATTATCCCTCCACTGAGGAATGTCATACTTCAGAACACTTACCCATTAATCAGGCATAGAGAAGACCAGTCCATACATGTGAAGGTCAATTTAGTCACTGATGATGTGTCTCCCCAGGGAATCTTCCTTTCAGCAGGTAAGTCCACTGGAAAGAGCAAATTAGAGATCAAGGATTTCTCAGTGAGTACTACATTACTGGAAAAGAGTGACCTTGCTTTGCTTTTTTAAAGTGCTCTTGATCTCATTTTATTTGAGAATTTTATCTACTCATTTTAAAGCTTTCACATTTGAATAATGCTGAAGTAACATCAAAAATTATTTCTAATTAAAGGATCATTTTTCAAATGAACACACTGTCAAATCATAAATTCAGCATTCTGTACACTGGTTATAGGACATTTTATAGTATCTACTGTTATAGCCTAATATCAGCTAAATTTCGAATTTTGGAAAAAAAATTTGTTTCATGTTAAGATTTACTTCAACTATAAAATATATATATATATTTTTTTTTTTTTTTCTCCCCAAGGACTGTCACATTGTATGGCTGATTCTATACAGTGTCGAACAAGGACAAAGAATGACATTCACAGATCTTTGGGATGATTTCAGGATGAATATAAATCTTTAGGAACAAAATTCACAATTAGCAGGCCAGATAGTTCCTAACTTTGTCTGCCATTTTGAATGGTAAACACACTGCACTCCTTATTTTTATTGACTAATAGTTTTAAAACTTAAAATCATTGATATTCTGAGTAATCTATCTTAAGTTTCCTTCTATCCAATCAATATTTAATACTCAAAAACTATCGTATTTTAAAGAATATTCATTATATATTTTCAGGAATCTACTTTTTACTTTACTGTCAACTTCCAAAACAGTATCTCTCCCTCATTCCACTTTCTTATACTTTAGGCACAGTTCAGAACCCCTGCAGAATTAACACATCCACATCTGAGATCACTATTCTCCTGTCAGTGCACATCATCTCCTGTTCTCCTGATTCAGTTACTTGCACACAGTATCTCCTTGAGTACTGCAATGATGAACAAGTATCCCATATGTGTTCCTTTATTTTGTGCTACTAAATAAGAACACCAGAGGCTGGGCAACTTTAAAAAGTGGAAAATTATTTTGCACAATTCTGAAGGGTAGAAAATTCACAATCAAATCATTATAATTGGACAGGGTTTCCCTATTTTCTCATGTGATGGAAGGTGAACAAAACAGAAACAATATCCTCAGTCAGATCATTTGTAAGGCAACCTAAACTGATTTATATGGGATGAACTTCAAGGCCTAGTCAACTCTTCAAAGCGCAACCTCTTTAGAGTACAATGTTGACAAAGCTTAAATTTTGAAGAGAACATATTCAAACAATAGTGACACCCTTGCTACATGTATCCTTCACTGTACACAATGAATCTAAGTTTTTACACTGGATGTTGTAGGGAGAACAATGCCACATTCCAAAGCTGCTCACATCCTAATCCAAGAGACCTGTGAATACTTGATTACAGTACAGGGAAACTAAAGCTGTGTATGAAATAAGGTTGCAAATTAGCTAACCTTAAAATAGTGAGATTATTCCTCATCATGTAGAGGGGCACATGGTATAATAAATATAAGACAGAAAGTCAGAAGATGTTACTCCAGGAGAAAGACATAGATGCATTTCAAGGCCTGGACTTGCCATTTTTTCCTCTCCTCTCCTCCCTCCCCTCACCTCTCCTCCCCTCTCTTCTCTTCTTTCTATTCTTTATTTTCTTTTCAAGCCTAGACACTCTTAGCCTTGAACATAGAGTAAGGCAGCAAAGCCAACAAGAGTGGGCAGGCTCCAGAAAGTAGAAAGTACAATAATAACCCTAGTGTCAACAGAAAGCAACATAATTATGCTAACACTTTGATTTTAGTCTGGGGGACTCAGGGCAGACTTTTAACCTACAAAACTGCAAGAATAAATCTGCATTCTTTAAGGTGCTGAATATATTGTAATATGACACAGCACCAACAGAGAATATATTGAAGTTTCCAAATCAACTTCACATGTCTTTTGTGCACTTGTCTACCCATCCCCTCTCTTACTGAACTAGACATCCTTTGATCTCATCAACCCCATTAAATTCAATGTAACCTCAGTCATTGACTTAAAATACACATTTATTTTCTGTATTTTCGGTTCAAAATTCCTCATTCTCTTTAAAGTTCATCTTTATCAAATATAGATCTCTCCTATATATTTGCTAAAATATAAATTTGTTCTTCACATACACAGACATATGAATTAAATGTGTTTCTTCTCATCTATCCATATCCATCTAAACATGCATACACACACATGCAAACACATACCCACATACACACACACATCTGGGGGTAGAGAACAGTTCTGGTAATAAAACTGAATCAAAATAGGCACAGACTTACCATTCAGGTTATAAAACAGAAAAAAAAGCATGTGTACAAGTATAAATTAAATATAAATTATAAATTATCAGAAGTCGTATTAAAGTTAGATTTGAGACTTCATAGAAAACTTCAAAAAGGGAAGTCATTAGTAGATAAAACTATTCCACATATCCCTTTTACATTCATAATATGAAATACAAAATAATAAATTGGAGAAGACATGAAGAAATAGCTTCATTATTTTTAGCTCAGCAGTTCTCTCACCTTTTTAACACAGTCCTTTTTCACTGAATGTGCAGTAACATTCTGCGATAAAACATTTAAGAATCACTGAGTTAGAAAGTGTTTCCTACAAAGACACCCACCCATCCCTTGGTATCCACAGGGGATTGACTGCAGGAATACTCATGGTAACAAAATCTTCAGATGCTCAGATTGCTTGTACAAAATCGTGTAATATTTGCATATAACCTAGACACATATATTTTATAACCTAGACTTCATATATTTTAAAATAAGTGCTAGATGACTTACAATACTTAATTCAATGTGAATGCTATGTAAATAACTTATACTATATTGTGTGGGTAATAAGTCTGTACATATTAGAAACAAATAGATTTTTTTCAAATATTTTCAGTCTGCATTTGGTTTAATTTATGGGCGTAGGTTCTGCTGATACAGATGACCAACCATACTCTGAATTCTTTATCACAGTGGGAAAGACACTTCTTGGCTTGGTCCCACTTATAGCTCACACAACTTTCTCCCCTTTGGCAGCACATCTATCCTATCATATATTATTCATTTTTAAAAAATCATACATCATTCTTTTTAATTTTTTAAAGATAATGGAACAAAACAAAACAGAATAAAGCAGATCAGAACAAAACAATGCAAACAACACAGGATTTCAAAACAAGTCAACAAGAAATCAGCAGTGGCTATCATAATGCCTCTTGTTTTCTTCAAAATAGTAGTACATATCTTCACACACAAATGAACTCAAACATGACAAAAAAAAGTATAAAATTGTTCAAAAAAAAAGAATGAAAGCATTGCAGGTCTTCAAAACAAGACAATAGGAAAATCAACAATGGCTACCATAATCATACACATTCTTAAATGCTAGAAAATCCTTAAATTCACCTTGCCCTTTAACCTTTCCATAAAGCCCCTCATAATATTCCTTTCTACCTAAAATACTCCTGCCTAACCAACCCTCCAAGCAATATCTGAGTCACTACTTATGTCATAACCTAAATGTGATTTTTTGAGACAATATTTTGTTATGAACTCACTATAGAGCCCAGGTTGGCCTCAAACTTGTGACAACTCTCCTGACTCGGTCTTCTGAGTCCCGGGATTACAGGCATGACCCACCAAACCTGGTTTTCTAAATGTGATTTCTTATAGAATCTTTAGTAATTTATACCTGAAAGATATGGACGATTTTATTTATGTGCTGTATCAAAAACTGTACATAAAACTATGAGTATTTATCATGAAGTTCATATTTATTTACAAAACTGTTTTGATAGACAAAATTCCTTAATAGCTACATATTTTTACTCCATCCACTTTTCTCCATGATTGTTTATAAAATTAGCAGCAGCTTTTAAATTTTACAGTAAACCTACAACTGTTCTTACAAGTATTTTTTAGAAAGCAAGCAATTGAATGGAACTGCACAATGAAAATGAAAAACTATGTAATTTTTAATAACCACATATATAGCACTATATATAAATATATATGTGTGTATTTAGTGCTATATAGAACTCTACTCTTATTCAAAACATGGATTAAAATATGGACTTAAAATGGCTAGCTTCTCTCTTTGTAAGACAGAATACTTTTTGTTGATGACTTGTACTCTAGGCAAATACTTTGAAGGGAATGATACACTGCTGTTATTTAATGATTACTTTGTTATTCTCTATTATTTTGTTATGAAATTTTATTTTATTTTTCATAAAATAAAAACAAAAACATTTAAAACCAAGTTAAGAAGGAATAGACACTATTTAGAAAAACTATAAAGATGAGATGAAATATTTTCATATTGGACCAACACCACCATAAAGTAACTCTAATAAAGTTGGTTACAAAAACAATAAAATAACATGATTAGCTCAGAACATACTAACAAAAACTATATTCTATGTTGAACAGCAGTACAGCATTGAGAACAGAGTATCGAAGGAATAATTCAGGTGCCATGATTATAAATTAACTGGTCCAAAAGCAATAAATTATAAATACTTTGTACTTCCGTATAATATTGTGCAAAGGAAATAACAGAGAAGAATTAATGCACTGGCATGCCACAATAATAACTTTCAAATTCTGATCATAGAAGGAAAAAAAGTATTAAAACATGATTTAGGGCCTTCAATACTTTAAACAATATAACTTTCAAAGGGCACTCAAGGAAGTATCTAATGTATGAATTATATATTACATCGAGCTATAAAATGCTCTCAATATTAAAAAAAACTATGAACACTAGGTATAATTTATCCAGAATAAAATAAAACATGTAGTACACAAAATATTCAATGAATCATGGACACTAGGGCTGGGTAATGACTGAGAAAAGCAACATTAAATGGTATTTGAATGCATTTATAAATAAATATAGAAATTACTATATTTTTAAATTAAATTTAGGAATCTTACTGATTTGACACTTTCACCTTGATATGACAAGATTGTCTTTTACACAGTTCCTATCCAGATGACTTTTCATAAAATTTACACTCTTGGTAAAGGTGACATAAGAGAACAGACTGAAACCTCATAAAAAATGACAAAATATCGAACATTTTATTTATTATTGTTGACTTGTAGATATAAAGTGTTGATGCCATGTCTGTGCTCCTTACAGGAATAAGTTGTACATACAAGGAAATATAAATGATCCTACAGAGCCCAGATTTCATATTCTTTCTATGAAAAGTGTTTTTTTCTAATCAAATAAATAACAGTGACAATAATTAGTAATATGTACTTACTTGACAATGAGATGAATAGGAATTATCTTACATATCTTACATAGACTTCATAGAACAACTAAAATGTCTGTTAACTAAATAATTTTGCCTAACTATTCAATGTCAGTTAGTTGAACTACTGATGCAAGATACCAACAATTATCTGCCTGTTCTTCATCACCTTTGTCAATCATCTACTAAGTCCATATCTTTAAAGTCATGAACCACACAACACACTCAAAGAAATGTGGGACTGAAGACAACAAGTTCATGGGGACCAAACCATCTCAGATTAGAAGTTGTTTTGGGACAAATAAACAAGCTATGTCTAAAACCGCTATACTAAATTAGGTAAAACTGTGGCAAACAAGGCATCTGGAACACTCAGTAAATAGACTTAAACTAGTAAAACAGAGTGATTTAAAGAGATAATTTTAATTCATCCCATTCTGAATATTAAACTTCAGTGAGCATTCTATTTTTAGCCCCTGATTTCCTCTTCCATTAGTACCGGTTTATAGTACACAGTGATCACATTCCTTAGGGCAAATTTGTATATAATGTTACAGATCTTAATTCTTTTTTGACCCTTCCTCTCCCCTGTCCTACCCTTTTTCCCCTGCATAACTGCAAAAAGTCTATTTCTGTTTTTACTTTCAACTCTTTATTTAAAAAATCTCTTTTCCCTTCTTTTCCTCCCTCATTGCTCATCCCTTGTACCCTTCCTAATTGAAAAAATCATTCCCATTGTCTAATGTAGTATTAGATTCCTGTTGAGGAAAATGAGTTTTTCTGGTTTTTCTCAAAGACTAACAGTGCACTTGCTCCACAATGGCTCTAAAATGTTAGACTTTACAATGCAATGTTACTACTGTATTATCATGAGTAATGATGAAACTTAGGTTTAAAATGCTGGGTCAGTAAACACAATTGTAATCTGCTAATATGCATTTGTTTATAAAGACTTTCTTAACCACTTATCAGTGCAATTATTTAAATACAGTTGATTGAAAATTGCATATTTTTATTAATTTTTATAAGATAATGTAACAAGAAATATAAGTTTTATCAAATTTATTCAATACAAGAATCCACTGGGTGAAATGACACCTGCCTGAGATCACATAGTTATTGAAGCCAAATTTGATTATCCTAATTACTTTTTAAAATTTTTGGCATGCATACTATTTTCATTTATTTTAAATGTTCATTTATTTAGTATATTTTTAATTTTATTTTTTGCTCCTACCCATTTAAATAATATTTTTGAACTAGTTTTATCCTGTATTCCAATAAAATTACAGGCAGCATCATTAATTTAACCCATTTTTTAATCAGATAATACCACATTAAGAATACATGGATTTTGAGTTCTAGAAAACAACCAAACTTCACACAACATTGCAGTTCTCTCCTCTTATCTCCTCTGATTTTGCGTAAGATCTGGAAACCAGGATGAGAGGAATGGATGTGTATTTAGATTTTCTTCTTTACCTGCCATTCCCTGGCTACAATTTCTGACTTACTAAAATTAGCTCCTTAAGTGAGCGGTTAAGTAGATGGTGCTTCCTCACTAGTGCAGTCTTGATTTGTATTTGATGCCTTTCAGGATTAGAAGATGGCCAAAGGTGGCTCTCCCTTCTATGGCCACTCAGAGAAGTTCTTTGCCTGAGAGACTTAGGTTCTATTAAATTCATCACCTCTTCTGGTTATTTTTTTCTCCTCAGTTCCCAGAGTACATCGTACACCCAAGAAGCCAAATGAGCACTTCAGGCAGGACTCTCTAGATGATCCAGGACAGTGCCTCTCTTAAGAATTCATAACTTAGATATAGAAAATGTATTTCTAGTTTTATTTGCATTTTTAATTGTAAAAAAGATTAAGATAAAGAGGGCATAATAACACAGGTCAGAACAGAACAATTTAGGCAACATAGTGTTTTACCACAAGACAATCCTACATAACAGTAGCTACCATAGTGTCTCTTTCCTTGAAATATTTGAGTATACCTTCATGTACTATAGTATCAAACATAAAAAGACAGTATGAAACCATTTAAGAGAATCAAAGTATTACACGGTATTCAGAACCAACTAACAGAAAATGAACAATGGTTATATTATCTCCTTGTCTATAAAAAATTTTGTTTATATTTTCACATATAATAAAATCCAGTAAGATACAATGTGATAAAACCGATGGAGACAGAACATAAGCTTGGTGGGACTTCAAAACGAGATGATATTAAATCATCACCAGCTATTATCACGTCTTGTTTTCTTCAAAATAGCTGTTCATACCTTCACAGCCACTAAAATAAACCCAGAATAAAACCATTCCAACTAATAAATGAGAACATTATAAAGCTTCAAAGCAATGTAATGGGGAATAATGGTTACCACATACTTTTATGTATTCTTACCATTTCTTACACTAGGAAAACCATTCGGTGTTTATACATGTGAGTGTGATTTATTTCGCTTATGAGAATGGTCTCAAGCTGCGCCCATTTATTTATAAATATCTCAATGTGATCGTTCTTTATAGCTGAGTAGTACTCCATTGTATAAAAATACCACAGCTTTTTTATCCATTCCTCAGTTGATGAACACTTAGGTTGTTTCCAAGGTCTGGCTATTACAAATTGTGCTGCAACAAACATGGGTGCACATATATCACTGCGGTATGATGTTTTCTGTTCTTCTGGGAATATGCCTAGAAGTGGAATAGCTTTAACAAATAGGACTTCCAATCCCAGCTTTCTGGGAAATCTCTAGACTGACCTCCACAAATGTTGCACCAGTCTACACTCCCACCAAGAGTGCAGAAGAGTTTCTTTTTCCCCAAAGCCTCTCCAGCATGTGTTATTGGTAGTTTCCTTTATCCTGGCCATTCTTTCTGGAGTGAAATGGAATCTCAGTGTGGTTTTAATTTGAATTTATCTAATGAGTAATGATTATGAACATTTTTTCATGTATTTATTTGCATTTGTATTTCTTCATCTGAGAATCTCAGATGCCCATTTTTGGATTATATCCTTGAATTTTGGTGGTCTGATTTTTTAAAAATTCTTTATATGTTTTAGACAGAAGTCCTTCATCTGAGGGACAGTACACTAAGATTGTCTACCAATTTGTAGGTTTTCTTTTCACTATGCTAGAGATTTCTTTTGACATGTAGAAACTTTATAATAGGACATGACCCCAGTTATTGATTCTGGGAAGTATTTCCCATGCAGTTTGACTCCTATTCATGAATTATCTACTTATCCCTGTGTCTTCAAGGTTTTTACCCAAATTGTTTTCCAATAGATTTAGTGTTTCTGCTTTAATATTCAGATCTTTGATCCATTTAGATTTTAATTTAGTATATGGTGATAGGCATGGGTCTAGTTTTAGTTTTTGGCATATGGGAAGCCAGTTTTTCCAACACCATTTATTAAAGAGACTGTCGTTCTTCCAGTGAACCTGCTTGGCTCCTTTATCAAAGATAAAGTGGATGAGTGTGTTTGTAGTTGTGGTTGTATCTTCCAACCTATTGCATTGATCTTTGGCTCTGTTTTTATTCCAGTACCTTGTTGATTTTACTACGGTTGCTTTGTAGGATAACTTCAAGTCAGAGACTGTGATGCCTCCTGCCTTGCCTTTGTTGCTTAGAACTGTCTCTGTTATTCTAGGTCTCTTCTGATTCCAGATGAATTTTAGGAGTGATTTTTTGAGATCTATGAGGTATGCTGATGGTATTTTTATCGGGATTGCATTGAATCTGTATAATAGTTTGGGGAGAATGGCCATTTTCACAATATTTATTCTTTCTATCCATTAGCAAGGGATGTCTTTCCATTTTCTGAGATCTTCTTCAAATTCTTTTTTTTTTCAGTGTATTATACTTTTCCTTATACCGATCTTTCTCTACTTTCATGAGAATAACTCCTCAATATTTCATTTTTTTCATTGCTACTGTGAAGGGTTTGACTTCTCTTATTTCTCTGTGATTTTGTTGTTACTGTATAGAAATGCTATTGATTTTTGAGTATTGATTTTTGTATCCAGCTAAGGAGCGTCTTTGTGGTACAACCTTGCTTCTGCCTTTTTTTTCCTGCTTCAGCATATCAAAAGCTCCAACATAACATGTTTCTATAATTATAGTGAATGATATAAAATTAACATTTGATTCACTTCCTAGGTATTCTCTGCTGTAAAACATTTTTTAACCCACAAAATGCAATTCCTTCCAATCATCAGAATTCAATCATGAATGATAGCTCCATCAATGGATCAATCGATCTATCTGACTACTACTCAGGCATAAAACAGGATAAATTTGAGTCGTTTGTAAGAAAAGATACACCTTGAAATCACAAAGCTAATGAAATAATTCCATCATGAAAGGTTGAACCTCACATATTTTACATGAGAAATTCAAAGAACAAATAATTCAAAGAGCAAAATAAAGGATCACAGGAAACAGGGAGGTAGATACCTTGCAGATGGGAAGAGGATCAATGGATGAAGGAAGGCGGAGGAGAGTGGGGGAAAAGAGAAATGAAAAGGTTCCTGATGTGGGTATATACATGTAACAACTCTGCAGGATGAAACACATTCATTATGCATCATAAACATTTACTAATAAAAAATAAGAGTTGGAAATGTGCATCTCTAATGCTGAAAAGATAGCCTGAAAATTTTCACTGTAAGTTTCCAAGGGAATGGTCTGCTATAGTGGAGATGAACCTTTTGGAGCTTTCAGTGATACAAAGAGCCTGCTGTGGCGTGTGTGTCCTAGTTCATCACTGCCTCTAGTACTTCATTTGAGGATCTTCTGTTCTTGGCACCTACATACTGTTCCTGGTCTTAGAATTTCAGCTGAGTCTTGTATTTAAATCCTATATTTTAATTATTAATTTTAGCTGTCAACTTTGAATAATTTCTCTAACATTTAATTAAACATACTTTACCTGCATTAATTCATTGACTATTTGAAACATATTTTCTAAAATAAAAATTCTATTGCTAACCCCACTTTACCAATTAATATATTGAAACTGAAAGCTCGAAGAAGTTAAAACTATCATAAGCACAGATAGTAAGAAAAAAAAAGCATCCATATCTAAAGACAGTTGGTCTTATTTTAAATGCCAAGTATCTAAAAACTGTGAGAGATGTCTCTCTGATTTTTTGAATAACAAGAGAAGAAATTATCAATAAGCAAAATGGAGCAGTTCATAGAGCAAGAGGAGGTGTCCTGATTACTTTTCTCTGATTGTTGAGACAAAATACCTGACATCCAAGTGAAGCAAGGGAAGGTTTACTTATCTGAAAGTTTTTTGGAGATTTCAGTCCATACTCACCTGGTTCCAAGGCAGGGTGGAAGGGGAGTCATTCATGGCCACCCCAAATACCAAGTGGGAAAGGGCAAAAAAGGAAAAAAAGCATGCTGCCTTCCCTCCCCATACTGTATGCTGGCTCCCAGCCCCTGGGTGGGCACAACACTCACACTGCCAACCCCAGCGCTAGCCCAGGAACCAATCACAAGTGCTGGATTCAGCTGCTTCCTTGACTCCATGGACCTTGGGGATGGGGGAAGCACATCTGAAACACAAACCACAAAAGTTGATAAAGAGCTAAAGTGATCTCTCAGATAGATGTTGGAGGCGTTTCAGTTTTCTTACTGAAGGAGACTAAAAAGTAGCCATAAAAATTAAGACTAAAAATTTTACATAACTTTACATGGATGTTTTCCTGAAAGAACACTAAAAAATAATTACCTTAATATTATGATTTTTAACCTTGATTTTAAATTAAATTGATCTTACGAAGTGTCATTTAACTGCCTGATCTCGCACAGTGCGAAATGTATAAATCCTGAACCAGAGTCATACACATTTCTTTTTAACCATAAAATATATAAGCTGGTGCTTTTTTAAGCTATTAATTTTGAATTTTATAATATTTTACATCTAATCTTCTGAACTGGACCAAAATAATGAGAAAATCTTATGACAGAAGGTTATGAACATTTGTATTCGGCAAGCAATTTCTGAATTAAATCCTACTGGGAAGTTAAACTTCATGTCTTATTTACTTCAGCTTTGAAGATTGCTCAAGAACACAGCTCTAACTTTTGATAAGCATATATTTTCTCCAAGGAAATTTCCATTTAAAAAAAAAAGTTATTCAGGAAAAAGTAGGTACTGTGTGCTGTATAGATCAAAAAGGAAAATTGCAGTTATGTCACTTAAAAAGGTCTGGATCCCAATGCTGTCATTTGTGCAAACTGTATTACTAACCTTAGAAAAATGTATAAGAAATATAAGCACAAAGTTATTCTTGTGATGTTAGAATAAGCAAAATGAAGCCAAACCGGACTGGAATGAATGCCATCTTACTTTTTAAGGCTGAAATCACAGACAACTGACTCTAACTTAATGACTGCTGGAACATTTTCTTTAAAACCATCCAGTATTATATAGAGCATGGCAAAGTGTGTCAATAAAATTCTAAAATAAAACATTTAAAATGAGAAACTTTAACTTTTCATAATGTTCAGGGTGGCCACTTACAGTTTTCACAATTTTATTTTAACAAATTTTCTTCAATTATCTTAGAAAACATTTGGATTTGGCCAAATTTGTATCAAAGATGAAAAACTTAATATGACTGTGCAAATATGTAAGAATCTAGAAGGCTGATTTTTTAACTGCAAATCCATGTAGAGTGAGTTAATGCATTTCCTATTGCCAAAAGAATTCCTAGTGACTATAAATTGTTTCACCCCAAAAACTGAGCATTTAAAATGTCTCAACTAAACATGCCACCCCATTAAACCTGGGGTTTGGAGTCTGGGGATTTAGCGCAGTGACATAAGCGCCTGCCTTGCAAGCAGGCAGTCATGAGTTTGATTCCTGGTACCCATAAAAACGAAAAAGACCAAAAAAACACCTGGGTTTTGGTACAATGTCTAATAAGCAATAAAGAATATGAACTTAACAAATATGGCCCTTTAGATTCTACTTACCACTATGTTATCTGACCAAATCAAATTGTGAATGACTGGCAAAAATTTTGATGCACATATTTTTGGGGAAACTGAAGTTTGAGTTTAAGATTATACAATTCCCAAGTGTCCAAAATATATAAATGGTTTATTTTATCAGACCATGTATCCCTAAGTCTATTTAAAGAAAGACACATTTTTGAATAATTATTCCTATTCAAGAATCTTTTGCTTAAATATTTCCTAATCTCACAAATAATAATTGAGATGAATACATCTATGCATAGCACATCCAATTAATTCGACAAGAGTATGTTCTTTTTTTTTCCAATTCTGAGAAGCATTACTCTACTTTGTGCAATGGCAATTAGTAGATAACTGTTGCATGGGGGAGAACTTAGTGGTCTCTATGTTATCCCATGCTATATGAGGCAAAAATAATCTGTTAATTTATCTTTTGGTAAATATCCAAAATTACCTTAAAATTTTGAGCATGAGATCAGTAAATTTAAGAAATGATTCTTTTAGGTTGTTTCTGAGCATTTCTGATAAAAATAGTTTACCACAAACCATATATAATGTTTTTTTAATGAGATCTTATTAGAATAATACTTTTATTTGTAAGTAGTATTTCCTATTTGCCTACAGAATACATGCTGGCAGCACTTGCGGCTACAGCGTTTACCCTTAGGAACTTGCAGATTATTGTCCTAACCGTACTTTCAAAGTCTGACACAAAATATCTTAGTTTTATCATTACTTTTGTATTGCTATAGTGTATTGGTAGTCTTTGCAAACAGACATCTTTCTATTTATAGCACTCTTTTAGTAGCATTTTCATTCATAACATATAGTGCTTCTGGATCACTGAAAATTAAATGAACATTGGCAGCAAGCTGCACTTTTTCCTAAATGGGAAATGGGTTAAATACTGTTTTTTTTACACATGATAAAAGAGTTCAAGTTAAAATAAGAGAACTTCATTCTACTGGTTGAGACTAGGAAGGAGAAACCAGGTTAAGAGATACTAGTAGTTGGCTCTGACAGGCAGGAGCCAAGAGCTGTTGTCCACCCTATGAGCACCACACCAACATCCAGGACGCAAGACTGCTGCCATACAGGTGAGACACGAGACCCAACATACCACTGCTGACATTCCCATCACCTCAACCTAGCCAGTCCAACAAAAGGCCTAGGAGCAATTTGAGAACAGTCTGTGGACAGACATTAAGACTGCTTCCATTTGTAGCTTCAATTACCACAAGGAACAGTAACTGCACTGCAGTTAAATATGGGATAGAGAAATGACTGAAGCTACTACTATAATTTTTATTTCTTGACATACCATATGCAAGAAACAGTCCCCTCTTAGAATGACTGGGTCAAGTGGATAGTCTAGATAAATTAATGAAATTGAATTCTCAATCTACTGAAAGAATAGTGCATCATTGTCACATATCAAATGTACAAAATTATGCAATGATTTATTTCTACCTCACTTTTCCAAATATATTTGGCTTAGTAAAACAATTAGAATAGTAAAATGAATCAGAAAAATATTTTCCTGTATCTCCAGATAGGAAAGTTTTAAACTCCTCTTTCTTCTATTGTCACAAGATCACTAGTTTTTAATATGTTACATAAAGACCTACTGCATCATTGTAAGGGATATTTTCTACTAAATTCTAATAAATTATATTTATGGGGTAAAGACAAGTAATATGTGTCTCTCCAATGTTTTCTTTTATTTGTTAATCTACTTTGAAACAAACTGCTTGGAATATTATCCACATTACATTCTGAGGTTACTGCTAAGGGTCAGTGGTTTTTTTTAAAATGATGATTGCTGACAAATAAAACTGTATGCATTCACAGTGTGTATGACATCATGTTTTGAGACAGGTATACACTGTGAAATCATTACAGTGCAGATAGATTTAAACTTCGTGATTTTGTCTTCATTGAGAACTCATAGATTAATATTTCTATAATTTTACTCTGAAATATTAGAAGAAATTTTATAAATTCACTACTTACACTTCAGACAATTCTCCTACACAATCACAGTTAGTAATAAGCTAACTAACTATCACTAGATTTCATTATATATCCTGGAACTGCAATGAAGTCCATTCTGAGTCAGGGAAACAGATGCTACAGAAGTCACTGTGCTACTCTTCAGGTCAACCAAACCTCTTAATCTATAAACTATCACAGACATACAGGCATGTACTGGGCTCCCTTTTGTTGGGAATAAAATCAGGAAGGCCTGATCAAGCATAGATATAGCTAACGTGTCAGTTTTCACCTTAGGTTCATCATTTGAATTTTACTGATGATTGCAAGGAAGTTAAAGCAAGGACAACAGCGAAACACACACACACACACACACACACGCACACACACACACACACACACACACACACACACACACACAAATAACTTTTAGTCTTTTAGTACAAACTGCTGAGGACAGTAACCAAGTCTTGAACTGATGCTAGTAGGGCATTAACAAAGTTACACATGTAAGAACTTCACTGCATTCCAGCTGGAGAGGAAGCCTCTATGTGGCCTCAGAAGCCACCCTGCATACAAGTAAAAAGAGCATAGCATGACACTAACACTGACACAGCTCTCACCCAACTGCTAAGTCTCCTATTGGAGCCCGCCTTGTAGTCTCAAAGATTGATTACATTTGGAGAAGGCAACTACACTTTCAAATTGGGGCCACTTAGTTATAATATCTAAAGAAAAAACTCATTAAAACAGGAAAATTAGTTTTCTTTTTAAAGTCATTTCCCTCATTTAAAAATTTACTAATTTAAAAATATTCATCTTTCCATTATACTAATTTCTTTGCTGGACAGTAGTGACCTGAAAAATAAAATAGCTTCACGAAATGTACAGTATGCAGACTTCTTTATCTATAGATGTTCAAACTTGGCCTTAAGTGGACTATATTTTATATTCCCTTTAATCAGTCTCACGCTGACTAGAGAAGTTGGGGATTCACTTCCCTGAAAATATAATTATGCCTGCTGGGATCACTTTAGTTGACTTTCTGTTTCAGCTGATTTTATTCTCTTTCTTGCTACCTGTTTTGATCAATCATGCGTTCTACCTCCTCCCTAAAAGCACTCTTTAAAAAACTTTCTTACACTTCAATAGCCTAGTTCTGTTTAAATTATATATACCCCACAAATGATTATAGGCAAGCACAGTTTTACTTTTTCCTCACCAGGTGATTTGTTATTCTTTTAATTTTTGTTTTCATTAGCCCATGTTTGCAGTGCATAATGATTACACTGATTGTGGTGAGCTGGCTCATGTACATAATACATCTTCAGTCTCTTCTCATCGCCTTCCCATCCCTTCCCTCATCCTTCTCTACATCTCTTGGGGTCCCCTTTCTTCCCTTCTGCAAAAGATCTATCTCCCTTTGTTTTGTTATCTTCTTTTATTTTGCTATTTATGCTTTGGGTTTCCCATATAAAAGAAATCACGCTCTATTAGAGGTTGCCTGACTTCAATTAACATTATGTTAGCCAGGTACATCCTTTTTATCTTTTTATAAATGACCCAAATTTATCTTTTT